AATAAATTGTAATGCTTATGTAATGTTGTTCATGTTGGAGTCCGGGCGCAAGATTAGGAATACTGTACTTATATAGACGATACCCTGTATTGATAGAAAACCAAGTTACATCTAGTCTTAAGCTCTACTTTACATATTGGTAGATTGGAGCCACGAGACACCCGTAACCTACGCCATCTTAAAGCTAAGCTTATCTCACTTTTCACACATACTAATCCATGAGGAACCTCATCGATGTCAAGGCCTCGCCTGGCAGGGGCTGCAGGTTTTTTGAGACTTCTTCCCGCGCACGCAGTTTCCATTACTACCCTTTTTTTTTTTTTTTTTTGGGTTGAAGATTCCGTGGAAAAGGTGGCTGAATTCCACGGGACTAACACAGAGCTGAATGGCTATTCATTACGGGCAATATATCAATGATTTTTTAAGAAACATGAGAGGCAAGGAGCACTGTACGAGGTGTGCCCTGGTCAGAGAGGAGCCCAATGTGCTAGATATTCATAGACTCAAGTAGTACATTAAACACATACACACACAGGAAGTCTGGAGTAAGATGTAATGAGGTCTCAACCTCCGTTCATTCTTTGTAACTAAATTTCCTTAAAATGAGTAGGTAGATACCAGTCTTACGTATCACGAGAACACACGCGATAGCGATTAACGAGACCTACTGTGAGCATAACTTCCCCAAGAGTATCCATCGTCCTGCTCCTATATGGCCTATCTAATATAACACATAGAATCAGATAGGACTATAATAAAGTCAAATCTAATTCAATCCTATTTTAAGTTAGTCCTGAAGTTATGACTCCATTAGTTGCCTCAGTCTCTTTGGCAACAGTCTATTTGTTGGCCGATATTTTTCACTTTGAGTTGGATGACCTACGCCATTTGAGACAGGAGAAATGTTGTTCGATTTGAATGTGACCCGCATAACACTATCTCTCTCGGCGATATCGTATTTGTGGAAATAGGGCATGACCCACATCACCTATTGGCAAATATCAAGCTCATCAATTTCCAAATTCATTAACAACTTTTAAGCTATTTAGATACTCTTAGTTATCCTTCATAGTCAAAGACTTGGAGGGGATATTAGTAAGATTCTATTCTATTCTGCATCGTATATGTGGGGTGACGAATGCACACTTGGATAACCATGGGGTTTCCACGCTTTTCCCCAAGGTAGGTATGCACGGAAGAGGTTATACGCCGCAAGAGTTAATCTCGAGTGGTTTCTACAAATGAAATCGGAGGGCAAGACTGAACACCTGTACCCGGTGTCCTCTACGACCCTGGGAGTGAAATATTCTCCCAGAGCCAAGTTCAGTCAAATTTCGCAATATCAAAGAAGTTGGCCCACAAGGCAAAAATTCAAATTACTCCACCATGTCAATCTTTCACTCCCAAAGAGTCCGATTCTCAACTAAACTTCATCAAGTCTACAAGAACGACCTAGTACGACCTAGTACATCCTCGTTTTAATGACCACACCTCTCGTTGACTTTCTCTGGCCTCAGCCGGTCACCAAATACACGCCCACGCCGATATTTATACCCGACGGAGGAAGCAAAGCGTGGAGCACAAATCTGGGAGACAGTTCTTTGAGATGGACGTAAGAGGATTTAGGACAAGTTGACAAGATGGTGCAAAGGAAGGACATAACTTCGATGGGCGTGAATTTTGGAATTTTTGGCAAGGAGTTTTACGAATTGAGCTTTGTGCGCGCCAAGACTTCGCTTGCGAGAGTGCAGCTGACACTGTAAAGACGAGTAGATGATGAAAGGTGGCGTGGTCGGCCTCATGGTGGTGTTCTCTGGTATAGTCTAAGTAGCCTGGGCACCTACTCCACTTGGGAAAGAGATACCTCAGATTACATTTCGCGCGGAGAAAAGTTGATGGTTGACGGAGGCATGTCTGGATAACTCAGGGTTTTTGAGACGTTCCCCTGGGTGGGTATTCACGGATGAGGGTTGACTTGGGGTGAAGAAAAAGCCACCATAACTTCGCAGTGGTACTTGCAAATGAAATCTGAGGCATGAGTGCTCTTCCTTTACGTTGAATCATCTATTCTGTATTTTTCTTTGATATTGTATCATAGCTAGATAGCTGAATACGCAATTAAAATCTGATGCAATTAAAAAAAAAACGAATGAAATCTGATTGTGGGTATTCCAAACGCTAAAATGAGACCTTCTACACGAAATATATCCTCCGGAAAACCTGCATGCGTCGAAAGGCGCGAAATCAAGATGACGGAATAATTTAATTTATCACTGAACTTATTTTTTCAGTGGACTACGCATACCTGATAGGAAAAGCTTGCCTTAGGACCTATAGTTTTCCAAGTAGTTGGAGTATAGAGCCGTGCCTCTTTAGCTTGCCAGCTTAATGGATGATTTGTTTTCATTACTCCGCATTGGGCGGACTGCGTAAGCCGCTGTCGTGCGTTTTCGTGCTTTTAGAATCAGCTTTACTAGACGTAAATTTCATGCAATTTCATACATTTTTGCCATCGGTGGCGCAGATGCAGAAGGGAAGTTATTTGGAGACGGTGGCTCTAAAACTGTTGTAATTGTGCATCACGTGCAAGTATGTTAGCATGCAGGCGTTCTATCATTATTGCATCCAGTCTCAATGTAACATGGTTAATTATAACTTCTAGTAACTCACGACATTATCCCTTCGAGTCCTTTGTACATACTTCAGCCCTAAGCTCCAACGGGGCTCCCATGTAGAGCATATCCAATAAATGTCACATACCCAAGTACAGTCAATAAGTAGATTGACGCAGTCAACTTGGGGTGCAACATTCAAGAAGTCAAAGCTATTGTACAGCACAATAGTGAGACCAGCCCTGACTTATGGGTGTTCTATATGGGCTGCAGCTGGGCCAACGGGTAGGATACCAGAAAGGATAGTCAAACCACTGCGAAGTATTCAATGAAAATGCTTGAAGCTTATTACAGGGTCATTCAACTCTACCAGCAGTAGGGTAATAGATCCCGAGTCTTCGGTTCTCCCGATAGATATCTACCTGAAATAAACGAGAGTCCAAGACGTCGGGCTATCAGAAGGACTACTTATCAGGAGATCGATACTATTTACATGCAGTAAAGTCAGACAGACCACAAGGGGAACCGAGATCAGGCATGCCAAGAATCGAAGGCAAGACATTGAAGAATGGACTAGAATTTGTGGCATGGAGAATGCGAAAGGAAGACAAAAAGATGCCGGTAAGGTAGCTACGTTCCAGGAGTGGAAAACCCCATGAACAGGTCCAGGGAACGAGAATTATCCGGTCATCGAGCTCCGGTCAACCCTGAACATTGGAAAGCCTCACATTATGTTACAGATAAAACAACAGGCAGAAAAATGATTACCTTTAGAAACACACCCTCAAATATCCACCGGAACCTTAGCAGGGCCCAAGGCAGTATTGCAGTTCAGATAAGAAGCGAACACACTAGTCTCAACTCCTATTCGTATCGAAGGAAAGTCCTTAGACTGGTTAATTCAAAATGTCAGTGTGGATATCCGGCTCAAAATGTCAAACATATGGTCTTGGCGTGTCCTCAGTGGGCAATGGGAAGAGGAGAGGTGCCTCGAAAGGCAAAAGACAGGTCATTTACGACAATGATGAACAGTCCAAATGATATAGAGAGAATTACAAAATAGGTCCTGGCAAAAGGCCGGTTTGAACAATTCCGGCTTGCAGGAGAAGTAAAAATTGCATTGAACGAAAAGACGAGACGATGTGGATAAGGATAGGACGGAATTCACACTGTATGAAATGGTAAACGCACTTCTTGAAGGAAATCTTAGAGACCCAATTGACACGAGGTAGACAGTTTTACGAGTTTACGGGTTTTTTACCGAATTTGTTTTCCAATTGTGTAAATATTATAGCTAGATGTACCTGCATGGGCCCATAGGGTACCTGAACGGGTTAAATGATATCAAATCAAATATGATTTACATTTTGGGATGGATATTCGCACTGAAATCGTGGGTTTTCTAATTTTTGAACATTTACTCGTAGTTAGTAAGCCTTCCGTCTGATATACTCACTTCTTGTGGTACGAAGTTGTAATGTGTGGTCTATGAAGATTACATTAGATTGGAATGGCAGCTGTGTAGAGTTATATTCAGTGCACGGACACCTCAATCTTGTATATACGAAAATCCTTCTCATTGGCACAAAATAGTCTTCAATACAGAACAATCAGACCACAAGGTTATCATGTCCTGCGCACAATGCTTATCAGGAGCTTCAGCCCATTGGCTCCCGTAAGCTCATAACCACAGCAGATGTTGTTCTGGGCCCTATGTAGGTTGTGGTAGATTTGGACGCGTATCTGTCCATGAGTTGTCAAAAATCTAGCTGTTTTCTCATACATGTGTTAGTTAGCTGCCTTACATTTATCATGATCCACTTGTGCATGGGTTCTCGAGATCTGCCCCTGTTTCTTTTTCGTCCAAGGACCTCACCATTCTTTGAGCGCGGTATTTTTCCGCGCTACTCTCTGCCTTTGATACTCGATATTTGTGCAGGTTAGTGCCAATCCAGCTATACCTTTTTCCATGTCCTGATCGCTATCATCAAAAATTTCTTTCCCTAGGATAACTTTTATTCGCATGAAGACAGTATTGTGTGTAGGACAGGTAGATTGTTATAAGTCCTGGTATATTAAACTTCCATTTGCTTCAAGTAAATTTCTATGGGTAGAGTTAAGATTTCTTGCTATAGTATTCTACTGCTGGATGAATGTTTTGCACCGATGATCAAAATCTACATCATCATGGACAGCAAAGTTGGACTAGCTTTGACGCAGTTTAAAATTTAATATCAATAAAGCTTTTACCATGCTCAACTAAAATTTACTATCTAGCACGAAAGCTTTGTGTTCATTACTCCTCAAGGATATGATTATTTTGAATTTTTATTTATAAATTGTTTAGCCGTATTTCCTCTACATCAATAAACTCCAATGTTTTATGAGCTATTCAGCTCCGCTACCAATAGCCTCAGTCTCAATATTACCCACAATTCGCCTATTCGCATCCGCAAGCTCCTTTTCAGTGATAGGCCTATCTTTTTTGTGCATATCAGGTGTATGTTGTCCATGAGATATGTGATGACCTATTGACATACCCACACGGACCTATAAACTAGTTAGAATCTCCAAATAATAATTCATCTGAGATGATTTTTTTCTTTCATCAATAGTAATGCAAGAATTAGAAGATTGACGAAATTTAATATAGAAAAATAGGACCTTACCAATGTTTCTAAAGCAGTATTACTGTTTTCCACTAAGTCGTCATCAAATCGCATGGTACCTTCTTCGAACAATAGAAGTATTGTACTCCCTCCAAATTTAAAGTACCCAAGCTCTTCGCTACGGCGAACTTGCTCGCCCTCTTTTCTTGTAATTACTGTACTTCCAACCATCATGGCTCCCACGCAGATTACCATGACTCTTCCGTGGGATACTGAGTCAATTGGAATAACAACACGAACGTTCTCACCGTATACATCCAAAGCACTGCGAATAGCCATGGGATTCACAGTGTAATATTCGCCCTGAATAGTCTTAGGCTTGCCCATGATACCATCGACAGGTATATGAAAACGATGGTAATCCTGAGGCGCTAAACGAAAGATACCGAGGGCACCATTTTTGTATCGATTAGCATCCTCAGGGTAAGCGCTCCCAAGAAGTCGCTCAATACTAAACTCTCTACCTTTGACCCAGATACGAGTTGCATCATCCATACGATTGAAAACAACTGAGCGACAGTCTGCTGGTGAGACAACAATAAACAAGTTATCCGGAGCAGAACAAGGTCTGGCGTCGGGCTTGAGTTGACGGTAAAAAAATTCGTTGAAAGTCCTAAATTCTTCCATTGGAAGAAGCACCTCTGACATATCGAGCTGATGGAAAGCAATGAATTTTCGTATCTCGAGGCGCGATGCTGGATCATCATATTTATTTCCTTGCTTTTGTGATAGACTTTTCAGAAGCTTACGAACTAGATATGTCAGTAATTAGATAAATATATTCAAGTATTCAAGGAGAACTCACTTCGCTTTTTCTCCATTTCCCTTGATTTAAGGCCCTTATAGAGTAGTCGGATTCCAAGGCGCACGTAAACTGACATGCGTTCTTCGTTGATTTGACCGGTGATCCGATCTTGTACGAGGATATTAGCTGAATTAGCACCCAGTTTGTATCCACCATATGAAATTTTCGTGATAACTTTCGAGTACCATTTACGCTGGGCCTGGTTGGGTGTTACAAAGCCAGCCATAACAAGATTATTCACTTGTTGCCAATCCTGACTTGCACAAGTTGCAATGTGAGTCACTATATCGGCATCAGATCGCTTGTTTAGGCGTGGTTGGTGACAAATTGGACATTCTCTAATTTCAACAACATGCTCTTCTTCCTTGTCATTAAGATCCTCCCGTTCAGGGAAATCGCTTTCTTCGGCTGAATTATTTGGTTCTTCGTAAAAGATATTTTTATTTTCTGCCCGTAATCGATCAATTGCTGTCGTATTATTACTTAAATCTGATGTAGGCTCAATGTTTAGGTATATTCCCGAGGTAGACTCATATATAGAGGTAGAGATATTATTTTGGGTTGTCGTGCAGTCGGACGCAAGAGCGCGAAGACGATCTGCTAGGATTGTCAAATTCGATTTTTCTGTCAGCTGATGCTCCAAACAAATGACAGCTTCGTCGAAAGATAGAACCATATTAGCTTCATCAATATGACTTAGACGTTGCGAACATCTAAACCAGCTATCGATAGTAGATTCCTTTAAAGTAGATCCAAGTGTATCAAGCATGGTAGTAAGTTCAACTTTACTTATACGGGAGTTCTCGTCCGAATCATACTGGCGCAACATACAGCGCCAGAATTGTTGTCGCAGAGCTGGATAAGGAACATACTTAGCTTTAAGGTAGAGTTGAGGACTGTGCTTCTCTTCCCATTTTTCGGCATTTTTAAGTTTTAGTGGGAGAGCGAAGGAGTGGAAGCTTGAATCTATTTCAATATTTTCGGCATTATTAGTTTGAGATATAGCACTGTTAAGTTGAAGGGCCCCAGTTGTAGGCCCTTGGACTGCTAATGAAGTTAATGTCGGAGTATTGGTTTGAGAGATATTCTGCCCTAAATTTCCTGAGCGTGATCCACCTTTGTTAAGATCTTGGGTTGAAGAGGAACGAGATAGCGGGATTCTGAATCGTGATTTTATTGGTTGAGAATTCGTAGTTTCGGGTTCTTTCAAGAGATAAAGTCCAGTTTCTATGTTTGCTTCTGGCGCTGTATCGGTAATTTCCTTTAGAGGCAAAAAGCTGGATGCTACAAAATCATTTCCTGATAGTTTATCCCGATCAATTACGGTAAATGAAAAAGAAAAGGCTTGCTCAAGTCGGAGAACTTGAAAAATCATTTTTTCGTGGAAAACTGGATTCAAGTTGTGACGAACGACACGAGTACGATGAGTTTTCTTGCCCAAAGAAGCTACCACAAATGGATCCATATCGAATGAAGTTCGAGTTACATTGCGTTCTGGAGGAAGGTCTGTTATGTTGCAAATTTCCAAAAACACAATGCCCACCACCTCTCCGGTGCCGGAAAACTCATATGCTGTTATGCACTTTTTTCTACGAAGCCCTCTTAATCTTAAGCTTCGTTTTTGTTTCTCGGTTTTCTCATGTTTAATTAAATCATCCGTTTCGTCACTGGGCTCTTCTTCGGCATCCTCTGAAACGAGACCTACACTACATGATGGTACTGATGATGGACTTGTTGAGGGTAAGTTGCTATCACTAACGTACACCATTCCAGCTAAAATACGAAATTTTTCTAGCACCTGGGCTGGTGATGCACCCAAATTTGTTGAATCAAAGAGGGTGAATTGAAGTAGAACATCTCCAGATATATTATCGCCCTTTTTTCGATCTCGTCTCTTGTTGCGTAAAGAATACCATCTAGGCTCTAGCTCTGTTCTTTCGCCAGAAAATATGTCTTCCAATGCAATGTCGAATTCACCTAGATAGTCTTTTCCGAATCTATCTTTGTCCCAGCACACGCAGTATAGAAGAGAGCTGTTGATGCCTGTGACAGGCATTTGCATGGTTACGTTCCAGTCTGGATTAAGGCTTTTGGCCACAGAATGCGTCGCATACTTGCTATCACCAAGGGTAAGAATAAGATACTAGGTTGATAATTAGCATGAGCCCCCTTTGCTTGGTTTTATATGCTTTACAGGGTCGGAAGTGCCATTTCTATCTTTGGCAGCTAAATTTCGAGCCTACAAACAATAAAATTAGCTCGAGTTTAATTCTCCAGGCCTCAGATACAAATACTCTAACTGCGACAACTTTTAGTACAAGTCCATTTGTTGTGCCCTTAGTATCTGAATTGACTTCGCCGTTACTTGAAGCCACTTGAGACCTGTTGGGACTTGGGTTCCTGGAATTGGTCGTGCTAGTGCCTCCATTGAAGGATCTAAGACGACGGGTAATCTTGATGCGAACCATGGTGAAGCACTGAGAATAATGTAGGCCAAACTAGCTTGTTTACCGATCTAAAGCGTCGATGATAGCACAGAGATAGAGCAAAGAGTTTGATACCTCATTCCCGTTATGTTTACGTTAAGGAGCGCTGGTGGGGTCATAAACCAATGTATTTATATAGCTCAGATATGATCTGATGAATAATGATTAGTCTTAGAATTTTAGTCTCTTGTACCGTGGAGGTGAAAAGTTCTGAATAGTATAGTAATCGAGGCGTGCTGAACTAAACCTGACGTCTTGATCCAGGATTAAAGACGAGAGGACTGGTAGATGGATAGAAATTAGCACAGTGTTTCTGTAGCATTCTGTGTATGACACAAAGATGAGCAATGGATGAGGAGGCATTGTTAATATCATCAGCGGGGAAGTACAATTTGAATTTTCGAATCAGCTTGTAGCCATTCTGCTGCTGGGTGTGTATCAGAAACCAGAAACGTCATCATGTTCACCTCTCACCCTTTCCCCTTCTTCATCTCGAGTTCATGGATGCTCTGAGCACAAGGCTAGACGCCTGTTACAACAACGATATTGACTCGGAATATAAAACCCAGCTTCGGAAACTTGCGTTGGTACATAATTTTAACCTCTCCGAATGTACAAATACAATATCAGCATGCGGCCAAACCCATCAATTGCTGAATGCCTCATGGCATTGAATATCAGTGTAAATTTCAACTGACTTATTTACAGTGTGCTATAAACAGGTAAAAATTGAACTCAGCTAGCTGCCAATACATAGGTATACCCCTCTAAATATCTCTCAAACCACAAATAAGCGGGGTAAGGGTTTGTTGTCTGATTCTTGGACCCTTAGTTGCATCAGGAATGCCATAGTGCGGAGTACAGGATTTCGTTTTATCATTTGATAACACCTCGCGCAGAATACACACATTGGAACTGTCAATGACTCACTGGGGCATTCGTCCTGTAAAGAAGATGCTGCAAAATTTTTACAGCAGTTATATTATGTCTAATCACATTATTCATGCTACGTCATGGTTCCGAGCAACTTAAATGGCTCCAGCGAGCATAGCTGATGACGGAGCTATTCATCTCCCACACCTGCTAGCGTAGTTTCCCCAGTCCTCCAAGCCTGCATACGCGCAGTTGTGGGACGGTAGTATCTAATCTTCAGAAGGTACATTATGCCAACAATCCACAATTCAATCACATTACTAGCGTTTACTACCCCCACCAAATCAATTTTACCCTTGCTATCCCCCGAACAATCAAGCAGCAATACCTTTGTCTACCGTCATTTTAGGCTTACACTCAGAAATCTCTTCCGGCATTAGGATAATTTTCTCTTCGTTGCTCAGCGTGCCAGCCAAGAATTGTGGCACCTTGGTACTTGAAGTTAGTCATTACAACCAATATTCATGCTGTTTGGACTAATGATGAAGAAGAGATTAGTTACTCACCGAATTCTTGCTGCTAACCCTGCGCCAAAGATTAGCTCTCGGATTGAACCGAACTGGAACGCCCCTGCCGGAAGTCTCCCGCTCATCTTCCTCTCTGATTTTTTGCACCTCCCTTTGAATATCGGCAAACGTGTCAAATGCAATGAACGGAATCTGATGCTCTATGCAGTATGATTCAAGCTTTAAACCTCGGCGTGCAAACAAGACATCTGCCTCTCTAGCCGCCGGCAGATCAGAGATTCCATCGCCGATAAATACTATGAGGGGTATAGTGCCATCCTCGCAAGTGAGCTTCGCTTGTTCACGAGCCTCCTGAACTGATACAGCTTTGTTATGGCCAAGCTCATTATCATGTCGCCAAATTGGCTTCCATTTACTTCCACCCTCTGAAATTATGGCTTCATTAGCAACTATACTGATGTGGCCACTCTCTTCTTTGCCTAAGAAGGCGTCTAGGACCTTTCGTAGTACAGGCTTTAATCCGGCGCTAATTATATTAAAGGGGATATCATGCGCAAGACAGTATTGGTGGAAGGATTTAAAATGAGGATCTATGTCAAGAGATGACTTCATTAAGGCAAACCCATCGTCGAAAGGAACTCTGAGCGATGCCCACATTTCTTCTGATACATCACGGAAGCTGCGTTCACCTGAAGCTATTTGTGCTTCAAGGGTAGCACGCCGTGTAGGTCCGCAACCATGAGCGTCGAAAAGGATGTGGCCTGTGTCTTGAAGAAATATTGTACCATCAAAATCTGATTGTAGTCAGTCGGTGAGCTGATTCATGTGTTCCCACTTCGCGCCAATAGAGTTCGGCTTGTTCAGAATACAGCCCAATCAGGTCCCCTGGCTACACATGCTGCTGCATTGCTATTCTTACTGGTAGAATAACAGGATTTATATCCCTATTCAAAGATTCACTCACCAGAAAAGCAAATAACTTTACGTTTCAATGTTTTGGATGTGTTTTTACTTTGTACGGCAACTTCGTCTTTCTTGCTGAAATACTCCTCGTTAACATTTGTCGTGATTAGATTCTTACTGTAATTTTTGGCAGTAGACATTCTGGAACCTGGTAGCGGGTTAGCATTCGACATATAGTTTGGGAAGGCGGATTCTTACTATCTTTTTACTAAACCTGTGGTTGCCGATGAGAATATTGTTTTTGCCTGAGATGATTTTTCTAATCAAAGACATACAAGAGAAGATTCTGAACATTCACTAAATACCTTGGGCGCGGGACACACGGCAAAACTCACTGCAGATCATCTATTCTCGCCCAGGCTATGGAACTATCTGTTACATCAGACGCAATCTTTTCTTGGGTAATTCAAGGACGAATACGATCGGGTCCTTATCATTGGAAATTGATCGGCATGTATCAATATGTATCAATGTGAAGGTCTTAGCCCCATGCATGAACTATGAAATCCACGGGACGAACTGCATACTAGCCAATTTTGGAGATTTCCAACGTACTTGGAATGTAAATTTTGAGATGTCTGTCTACCTCTGAGAGATATTCTTGATTCGGGGATCACATAATTAAAATCATAGACCGTATGCAAGATGCAGAAAAGCCATCTTTACTACGGAGGCAACCGGTAGGCATTTCCATAAGTCGCTTGGGGAGGAAAACCATATCCGAGACCTTAGCAAAAGGATGATTGTCCTATGCCAAGCCAAACAGATTGGCGAAGTTGAATCAAGGGAGAACTGATGAATAGGAGACTTGATATGCTGGTAAATCGCAAAAAGTTAACTTGGCAGTTCAGTCTTTGTTTCTGCCCTGTCTAGACAAGGATGAATTCAAAGATTTACCAGTAGAAATGATATTACAACGGTCTAGCTCTAGTGAACATCATGGAGGAGTTCCGATGGCCCTCTGAAGATACATTTGGTCGCAGCGATCCCATCTCCAGCCAAACCAAACAATTTGCAACACTAGAATCTTACAACGGTAAAGGTTGGCCCATATGATGAAGCTACAAAGGAAACACCAAGAGCCGGAATATCTTTGGCATGTAAAACAAACATATACCAAAGGGCTGCCCAACGTGACCTGGTTTAGTACGAGCACAATGGTACCACAAAGTACGACATTTTCTAAGCAACTTGCTTGATCTGATGGTAATTTTGACATGAGACTGTGGCATTTTCCTTTCTTTCACCACAAACCAACTCGGGATAAGGCTGATATGACAGTTTGCGTCTACGTTACTCATTTTTATAAGTCATGTCATTGGATGATTGGTGGCATTCAGCTTGCTAAAGTGCAGCAACACTCGCAGTGTATTTGGATGCAGCCTTGTCAAATAGAGATTCCTTTTCTCGAAGATCTTGCAGGGATAGGTAGTCAGGTGCGTTGAGTTCTAGATTACTGTTGAAGTTAGTTGGCTAGTGATGCTAAATCGGGACATATGTAATGTCCATGGGGGTTTAGGATGCTCATACCTAGATAATTCCTTGGTATCTCTCCCAGAAATTATATTCAGTACTATGCTATTTGCAAGAGCCTCTAAGTTGTTAGGATCGGTAGATAGAACTTGCTGTAAGGCTGCTTCAGCTTCTTCTAATCTTCCAAGATGTATCTCAGTGACGGCTTGCGAGACAAGACTCTGACTTGACGACGAAGAAGGTGCCTGAGCAAGTTCCTCAAACACGTAAAAAGCTTTTTGATAATCTTTTCCGCCCTAGCTTGATAGGTTAGCGATGTTAAGTTGAAAGAATAGTTCTTTAACGTACCATCCTTAATCCAACCCAGCTCTCAGCCAGGTTGACCAACAAGCTATCCTGTGCCCAGCGTCTAGCAGCCGCGACTTCTTTGATAGCAAGATCAGTACGATTCTGTAGAAGATGAATCTGGACAGTCATTGCCACAGCTTCCACTAAAATCTAATAAGCCATTCAAGTCGATTCCCCGGTGTGATGTCCATTGAACTTACAGTCGCCTTGATGAGCACCTAGAATTTCTAGGGCGGCGTCGCTCTTACCTGCTCTCTGCATGACCAGCGCAGCTGGTACCAAAGCTGGACCTTCAACTCTTCCCAAATCCTGAATAGTCGTGAGCGCTTCTGCTTCATCTCCCTTTATGACTTGAATGAGTGCTCGTAAGGCCACTAGATCTGGCTCAGTCTCATCCTTCACCTTCTCCCAGACTTCCTCAACCTTTCCCAAGGCTATTTGCGCGCGCAGCGCCAATACCTTGGCCTGCGATTTGTGCTCGGGGGACAAGTCCGAAATTTGGTAGTCGAGCACTTCCTTGAATTGGCCTTGGTGGAAGGTATTCTGCAGGTTGACCAGTTCGTTATCAGCGGAAAATGGATCCATCCTGGTTGTTTCTTTTGGCCGAGGGAACAATTGATAGGCTGATGGTTGATGGCGAAATGTATGAGCGAGGGAATCTTCGACCGCGCATGGGGTAGGGATAACGTTTCCGTAAGGCAAGCTCCAGGTGTTAACTTTACGCTAGTCGTGATTCAAACTCCCCGTATTTTGCAAACATTTGATGAGTACCTGGTACACAACAACGAAACTTCTGATAATGGGTATTTTTACGGTCTCTATTTGATTCGCAACTAATATGGTGAAGCACGTCTGTTTATACAACATAGCCCGTCTCGTCCGTAAATCTTCGCCAACAGAGACTTCCAAAGCCTTCACTAAACTGAACACACCCTCCCAATCCTGTTCAGTGGCATCTTGAGAAATGTGGTAGTATCTTTGTGAGTTGGAACTAGCGATCTACTGTCTCTAGTGGGAGAAGTTTCCTGACCATCCGTATTTAACATTACAGACTATCTAGAACGGTATACCACTAGACTATCCTACTATTTCCGTGTTCGAATTAACACCTGCACTCTCGCCCGCCAAGAAGTGGCGGGAAAAATGCCCCCCAATGTGAAAATTTCCCTATCAATAGTCGAAACGTTATCTACTCCGAGGTTTTACTTATCTTGATCTCAATCCTGTTCATGTCTCACGTCGTGTCCAAAGATATATCTCACCAAATTTATGCGCCGTAATTTGGGACTTCCTGTGGGTAGATTAAGTCGAGAATTTTGTTCATTGCAAGAAGAAAGTAATTATCAATCTTAGCTTGTTGAGACTCTAGTTAGACTTGGCCTCGCAAGGAGCGAATAATTGACGTGGTTGGAAGTCTTTTCTGATTGCCTTATGAGAAAACTTCCTTGGTCTCACGGAATCTTGACTCAGCCCAGAATTTTTACTGTCTGGATCCATAGAGAGAATTGCTGACTGGAGTTCGGTCTCCGTCGGTATTCTTTACATGACCTCAGTGAGTGTTGACTCAGTAAACTGCGGAGCTCCCGATATCGGTGGAAGCCCCGCCTTGGGAAATTTTCACAAATTTCCCCGTCGAGTGCATATGCTCCAAGAACAATACGAACATTTTCGTAAAATTTACAGGCTCTGATCTATGCCGCTTGACGCAGATACCAAAATAAGCTTGTCAGGTACGCAGAAACTCATCACGCGATTTCTACGCCTCTCAGGATCCACAAAATCCGTCCTAATACATGCTTTAAAGGAAGGCCGTTTTTTGTGAGATGTCCAAAGGCCAAACCCTCTCGTTGGGAAAGAACCCATGCCTACTCCGAGGCAAGTTGTATCGTGTCCACTTTGCTGGTTATTTGCTCACTCATCTGATTCAACTTTGGTCCAAGTAGAAAATGGCATGGGCTAGTTCACGATGTTAAAACACTTGCCGACTCTGTAGCAATCGGGCTCGGCGCGATTTATCAAAATGTGTCCACATGTACTTTATGCACAGTTTTATGCCCATCATGTGCTGCCCCGTAATGACTCATTTCGCCATCACAATCCCAGCTCTGTATATAATGAGGGGTCAGGGCAAGGGCTTGCTGTTGCCACTCGACACAGCTCCACCACGGAGACCACCAAGAAGCGAAACCTCGGTGGGCAGCTAGCTCCACACACAGACCTTGTCCAGACTCCAATGGCGATCAAACAGATTCGTAGCCGTCTGGGCATCAACGCTTGAGCCCTGGGTTATCCGTGCTTGGCCCCTTCACATGTTCTCTGCAGATGCCGCATTTGATAGCAATACAGCATTCGTTGATCAGCAAAGGAAAAAAAAGCATAATGCAACATGACATCTGCGGGTGCTAGCTCCGGCATGGAGCCTCGAGTGTCTGGACGCAGCTCTAGCGCCGGCGGGAGACGGAGGGTCTCAGAGGCACAGACGTTTCCTCGCTGTCGCCAAATAGCCGCGACGGAGTACGGTGGCCATTCCCCCCGGGCCACCAGGAGGAGGCCCTGTCTATCAATCAAAGGACCGACAGCCAACAAACACATTCTGTGCGAAGTTAACCCAAATATTCTCTGCATCAGTCGCGGGGAAGCAGCAGCTCTAGAGCGCCCTCGCCCATCGAGATGTACCACGTGCACGCTGCCCAGGGCGTCAGTCGGCTCGTTAGTAGTTCTGGCCATAGTCTGCATCGGCTGGAAAAAGTCAGAGGTACTGTGGCCCGCATAAAATAGAGCTATCTTGGTTTAGCAGATGCTCACTCATTAGCCGGTGGGAGACCCGTGATCTATTTATCATTCCTAAATATTTAGGCAACATAAATGGAATTACCTTTTTATATATTTCCTCACTTGCGTCATAGGTTTAAGGGGGGTGAGTGGGTAACTACAATTTACAAGGGGATTTATGACATCATCACGGGCTTATTGGTTGCTGGATTTTTAACGAAAGGATTATATTTCATTTCATGAAGATTTACAATCAAGCCTTATCTGTGAGCATCATTTCATGTGCTAGTCACAGAATTTGTCTACGTATCTCAAGTGTCAATATCCAAAACTTTCAAAGGCAACTCACAAATACCATTCTGGGATACCTGCGTCGTGGTTTATCCCTCACTAACGCAGACACGCGAGCTAAATTTTAATATTAAATTCCAATCTGATGATATGCACTAGCACTACTATTTAATATCAAGATATCTTTACTATTTGCCTTATTTTCTACCACATGATTATGTATTGAAAGCAGTGCAATCAACGTGTCTTAATCCACGAAGATTTGACGCCAACTTTTAATTGGTCATATCGTTGAGATCGATTTCATGCTATATTTATAAGTATTAGCTTATCCAGCGGCGTATATCCCTCTGTAATATCAAAGTTAGAGTCAGTAGTAAACTTATTCAGCAACAAAAAGTAGAAGCTGACTAGATTTTTTAAATTGACGCTAACTCTTAACATGATCCTCGATGCAAGAGTTTCAAAGTCACGAGGCTAAAAATTTGGGGTCTGAATCACAAGTACTTGCTGCAATAGTGATGACTTAAGGAATCATTCAAGTGTCTAACAATAGCCCGCACAGTTATTATTTTTACTTGTTTGGTCCATGCTCCGAAGTTTAGATTTATTGACTTGAGCTCATGTAATCAGAGACAAATATCAAATATTTAAATTTTGGGTAGATATATTTGCGTGTGAGCTGGAAATCGCTTCGCAGGCGACCAAACTCTGGCAGTAAAATACTAATATGAGCTGTAGACTGATTTATGTGAAGAAGGTTTGCTCTTCCACTTTACATCGTGTCAGTGTCTAGGAAAAAGGTATGAGTGAAGCATTCAATTTCTGGATTGAATATTTTCCCGAATGTAGCCCAGCTTCAAAGAAATGGTTTGAACAATATTCCCCGTCTTAACCTTGATACTGTGGCATGGAATAATTACATCAGTCAAGGTACTTATGAAGTTGGCTGAGAGTTGTTTGGTAAAATTGACAACACGTTCGCTTGGTGGTTGAAGAGCCCAAGCCACACTCACGTGAAATGCGGCTGAGGCATTTTGAACCTTAGTCCTATTCATACTGTTGAAGGAATCGGTATCTTTGAGAGCTCTGCTATTGTTAAATGCGCCATCGTCACAAGCGCTCGTGGAAGCCGTGTAGAGACAAGGATTGCCGTAATCCTGGACGACCATATTACTTATGTGAAGTAGCTTGTTGAGTTCGTTTTGTTCCGGCTCCAAGACTCGCAGGACAAGAAACCATCGAGTTGCGTCTGAATTTGCGACCCATTCTAAAAGGGTGAATTTGACTTCGAAACTAAATTTATTAGCGTGTCATGCAACTTAATCTTCAGCGAAATAAGCTCACGGTCGAACTTCCGAAGAGTTTAAAAGCCGCTTAAGAGAGTCGAAAAATGGTGACCGTTGAACTGTTGTTATATGTATCGATCGCGATAAGCTAATGTGTAGTGGTAAAGGCACCCCCAAATCGCTAGTCAAGAGGGAGTGCAGCTGGAAAGCTTGTTCGTCTGTTCTGTTGTAATCTTTGAGGGTTTGAAGCAATCTGTTTATTAATTTAGATTCACTTTCTGTTGGGAACCCTTAGTGATCTTAGTCTTTTGGTATATTCCGGGTGATTTTTTGATGGACCTACACTCGATGTATACGTGAGTCGGCCAGTTTCCTACAACATGTGGGGTCTGTCTCTTTCGACCGCCGTGAAGACTAGGATCATCCTTTTGACTCAGTTTAGCTGCAGAAGCGTAGAGGTCATGGAATTTGGACGGTAATGGTGGCAAATTGGATAGCGATTCACACTGTTTTCGTTTTAAAGGTATCGTGAACAGGTCATCGCGGGAGCTGGGCGATGCGGGAGGCCTATCTGTATCAATTTCTTCCTTTTCTTCATCAGACGATGATGCATAGCCGACTAGAACCATCGAGTGAGTTTCAAATATGCGAATGCGTCATGACACCTAAGAAAGACTGATTCTAGCGATTTCGTAGTCTTCTAAGAATTTTTGGACGAATATTTTGGTCTGTGATTACGAGAGCAAGTCATGTGGTAGAGTCTGCAGTGTTTTGAACACGAGTGAGGTGGGAGTCTATGCGATCTAGACTAGTTCTGATGTTGATATCAGGGAACACGGCATCCCGCCGTTGTAAGATAAACCTATCACATAACGCAAAGACTGGCGAACAGAACTGCTCAGGGAAGAGGGAAGGAGAAGATGCAGAGGGCTCGGTAAGTACTATAGGACCCAAGCTCAAATGCAGACACCGAATATTTCCTTAAAACCATTTAACTTTCAGGGTCAATTAAGACTAGATGAATCTTGATGTTTTCAAGCTCAAACTAGAATTCGAAATACAAGAGCATATTTATATTTGATTGGAAAGGTGAAAGATGATAAGTGAAATTTCTGCTATTCGAAAAAAGTAGACAACCAAGCATTTAATCCTTCATTAAACAAGATTTTGGAAACAGAAGACTAGCATTCGCTGATATCCAACCAAAGATATTACCAATAATTTTACGAACTAAAAGAGGAAGGGAAGCCTTACTACAATATTTGAAAACTTCCAAGAGTATATCATTATACAAAGGAGTTATATTAGGCACATAAACAACGGTAATAGGAGAGGAATAGGTGTACTATTATACAAAATATTGGGAGAAGTTTTTCTGAAAGATTAAATTTTACTGATGTTTTAATCATGCTTAATCACGAGGTATGAAATTGGTAGAGAGGCAGCCTTAGGAATGTAAGATAGATTGGATATGGAAGGAGAAACAGGGGTAACTACAGCGAGCTCTATATACATGAGGTGTGGGTGGGAGGGCAAGACTGAACACCTGTACCCGGTGTCCTCTACGAACCTGGGAGTGAAATATTCTCCCAGAGCCAAGTTCAGTCAAATTTCGCAATATCAAAGAATTTGGCCCACGAGGCAAAAATTCAAATTACTCCACCATGTCAATCTTTCACTCCCAAAGAGTCCGATTCTCAACTAAACTTCATCAAGTCTACAAGTACGACCTAGTACGACCTAGTACATCCTCGTTTTAATGACCACACCTCTCGTTGACTTTCTCTGGCCTCAGCCGGTCACCAAATACACGCCCACGCCGATATTTATACCCGACGGAGGAAGCAAAGCGTGGAGCACAATTCTGGGAGGCAGTTCTTTGAGATGGACGTGAGAGGATTTAGGACGAGTTGACAAGATGGTGCAAAGGAAGGACATAACTTCGATGGGCGTGAATTTTGGAATTTTTGGCAAGGAGTTTTACGAATTGAGCTTTGTGCGCGCCAAGACTTCGCTTGCGAGAGTGCAGCTGACACTATAAAAATAAGCAAACGATGGAAGGTGTTGTGGTCCGCCTCCTGGTGATGTTCTCTGGTATGGTTTGAGTAGCCTGGGCACCTACTCCACTTGGGAAGGAGACACCTCAGATCACATATCGCGCGGAGAAAAGTTGATGGATGACGGAGGCATGTCTGGATAACTCAGGAATTTTGAGACGTTCCCCTGGGAGGGTATTCACGGACTAGGGTTGACTTGGGGTGAAGAAAAAGCCACCATAACTTCGCAGTGGTACTTGCAAATGAAATATGAGGCATGAGTGCTCTTCCTTTACGTTGAATCATCTATTCTGTACTTTTCTTTGATATTGTGTCATAGCTAGATAGCTGCATACGCAATTAAAATCCGATGCAAAAAAAAAAAAAAGAGGTGGGGGTGTTTGCTGAGTAATGCCAAGACTAGATTGGCATTCATGTCACGTGTAGGTGTTTCATGTTCAAGCACCTACACTGCCTTGCTCATTGCATGTTTGGAGCCCTGAGGCCGTAACTTGCTTCCTGTTTGTTGCATTTATAAAGTTAATGGATGAATGAATGAAAGTTGTTCGTGACAGGCACAAGCTCTGCACTCAAAGAGCATGACACAGAGAAGGCGAGTCCTTCCCCGACGACTATATACGACAATAACTCAGGTTGACATTTGAACTACTCATGTAGTCGGTGCGTTCGCTGATACCACTCAAGACCTAGGTGCTGGGGACTTTCACCCTTCCTTCAACAGTAAATATCCACCAAAGGGAAAACAGGAAAACCCTTTGGCTACCCTTACATGCTTTTGTCATCTTGTATATAGCTGCCGCGCGAGATATGGCCTCATAGTCCTCCCTTTCTCGAGTGAGGTAGGTGTCCAGGCTACCCAGACTTTAATTCGGGGAGATGACGACCAGTAGGCGGACCAAAATCCTTCCATCGTTGCCTCTACGCCCACAGATACCCTTAAGTCGAAGACACTCGAAAAATGTGCGTCACAGCATGACAACGGTCCCCCATAGACTAAGACCCGAGCTTTGTATAGTATGCCTTAGTTTCCTCCCCGCGGGTATATATAGCATCGTAATTTTGTAGTGGGAGATGGCCGGTTTTTAATGGGGCAAATGCCTGATTGCAATTGGAGTAACGCCATTATCGGTATTCGAGGCGAGGTGGTGTAGAAGATTGAGGTGGAGGACTCGCGTGAGAATGATAGGTCCGACATTGACGATGAGCCGTCGATTTAAAATGTGCTTGTGAGTGTTTTCGACTTCGATTTGGATGCGATTCTTCTTGGCTATCCCAGATATGCAGAGCATACTGAGCCATCACGACAGCTAGATAGCTGCATACGCAATTAAAATCTGATGTAAAAAAAAATGAGCTACTACGCCGGCACCCCTGGAAGGTGAAGAATTCATATTTCACGGCACGTGACAACATTAACTTGACCCGAACTCTCTTACTTAAACAAGTATATCACCCGTCAGGTGGTGGGTCTCTTTGCACCCGGCTCCCACACATCCCTCCCGGGAAAGTCAAGGCTTATTGGATCCCAAGCCACTCTGATATATTGGGTAACGTTTTGGCCGACGCCTCTGCCTGGGAGGGGCTTTCAAAAACCCCGCCTGTACCCCGTGGGTACGTTTCTTTTGATACCGCGAAAAATCGCATCAAGGCAGAAGTATCGATGGCTATGAAAGACTACTGGGACCGACATGCCCCAGTATCCTATAGGGAGCTTGCCATTAACTCATACTCTCGTAACCCTAAGGAACTCACACTAGACAGACCATTTCTCTCTAGACTATACGTTGCCCGCTCAGGACATGGTGACTTTGCAGAGTACCACCGCCGTTTCAATCACGAGGGCGCTAACCTTCATTGTGGCTGCGGACAGCTCAAAGCCCCATTGCACTTCCTAGAGTGCCACCTAACCACTCATAGACCTCCTCGAGCTCCAGCATCTTTAAGGGACCCAAAGAAATTTTTGCTAGGAACCTGGGAAGGGGCCCTACGTGTAGCAAAGTGGCTTTCTATTTCAGAGTTTTACATAAAGACCTGCCCTAGAAACCCCAGAGAAGAAATAAATAGGTCCTCAAATCTGCCCCAACTCTGAGCCTTGCACTATGGATGGATGGTGCGGTATTTATGAATGGATCTAGTAGTAGTATCTCGAGAGTGGTTGTTATACATCAAATGAGTAAAGAGCGTCGGGGACTGGCGGAAAAAGTGCAGGTGCTATGCTAAACGTAATCATGTACTTAGAGAACTGCCCTGCAAACCTAGTTAAGAAGTAGCAAGGTCGAAACCACCAGGGCAGTAAGCACTGGCGTCCATGCCTCTAGGTAGTTTCGTGGGTAGTAGGGACCTAAGTCAAGCTTGGCGCCCCGACGGACGAAAAATAGAAAACAAACAAACAACCAAAAATTTCATCAATTCGAAAATTCCCTTTTTCCCATTTTCCATTCCTATGATCACTTCTGTGCTTGACTTCTCGAATTGTTAACCGTCGCGAGGTATTTAAAATGCCTCCGGTGAGAAAAAATCGCCCAAAGCCGACAACTTCAGCCGGCTTTGAACGGACACCATTGTGTCCAAAACCTACTGGCCTCGCGCAAAAATTATCAAGCCTATTTGCGAGTGAGGCCTTTGTCCCAGGGAAGTCCACAAATCTTCCCGATCAAGAGATGACTGATTCTGAACCGATCAGAGCAGAAAACAATGGTCCCAAGACCAAAACCCCCGTCGAACTGCCCCCTTTGGCAAGCAGCTCCAGGAAAGGAAAGGAAGTTGTTCGAGAAAAGACAACCGAACGTGCAGAATCATCTGCAGGAAACAATGCTGTGCCAGCCTCAAAAGGCGCAGCATCTATATCAGCAATGGAATTTCCACCAGAGCTGCAAACCGTAATGGAGGCCGAAAAGCGTCGCACGACGCAAATAAACGCCCGACTCGCAATCTACTCGACTGCAATCAGCGGTGTCGAAGCAGCACTTTCGCCTCTTTCGATTGGCGATAATAAAGAATTTGTAGACGGAATCAAAGTCTATCTTCGAGCAGCCATCGGCCAGTTCGTACAATCTGGCCCAGGGAGCACACCACCAGTTCTCCCAGCTCGCCCCGCCAACCCTATTCCGCCGAGGGCACCAGAAATAAGGGTTCCTAACCCTCCAACAACCCAGGCTCCGGCCCCAAAGACAACTTGGGCCACCGTAGCTCGGGTAGGCTTAGCCCGCAGCGCTGGGCCATTGACAAAAAAGGCAGCACCACCCGCCCCCAAGGCAAAGAGTGCCAACTCGAGGTCAAAAGCCGATTCACGACTTTTTCTGCGCCTTGACTATTTCCATCCTCACCGTCTCCTTTCTCCAGCTGGAGTAAGGCTAGCGGTGTCTCAGGAGCTGGGAACCGCTGCCAACAATATCACGTTGGTTCAGCGGGTAAAGACCGGCTTTGCAATAACCGCAAAGGATGAACTCGCTCGAACAGAGCTCCTAGATTCCTCCACATCACGGAGCGAATCTGGAATCAAACTGGAACCAGCATCAAATCTGGTTGCCATGCAAATTGCCACCGTCCCGGAGACAATTCGAACTCTTGCT